ACGTTATGGAAGGACATTAGGAGGTATCATGTGGAATTACACATATGGACTGGCCCAGGGCAGTACTACATATGGAAGTCCCTGCGGTAGACTCAACCCGCCTGGGGTGAGATAACTACGCAGCAGAGATGGCAGCGAACGACTGCCAGGGAAAGACACGGGCTTACCGTGAGGGGAGCCGTACCATGGAAGAATACACATGTGGGATCACCCGAAGGGGGAATCACTACACACGGGCACCTAGCCCAGCACAAGGGCTGACCTTGGGCATGCACACGAGTGCTGAGCCTGGTATCTGGCGCTCCGCCACGCCTGACTGCCGAGGGTGTGGGAGGAACTTCAACAGGGTTCGCTATTGGGAACTGAACTGAGAAGCAAAAAAGCGCACGTATCCGGTCCGTAGAGGGGAATGGCGCAGCAAGCGTGATCGACACCGAGCGTGTTCCGTGTTACTGCCTACCTGAGGCAAGTACACGAGAGGACACGGGCTCTACACAGAGATTATAGAATCTCGCAAACGTGTTAGGCATTGCCCAGCCGGAAGCTCTACAGATGTCTGCTATCGAGGCGCCCAGATGTCTGCGGTCTGAGTGCGCGGCGCACCACTTACCTGGCTCCACGGCTGGGCAGGGGGCTCGTGAGGAGGCATAGCGTCCTTGAACCGAACCCTGCTGCCCATTGGCGAAGGGAGAGGGGGATGGCCATGTGGTGACTGGGTCTCGCGCACTGCCATCCTCGCCCTCTTGGAACCCGGAGAAAAAGGAACCCGCTCTTCTGTTGAGGTTTTGGGCACCACTGGCTCGAAAGTCACGGCACGGGCCCTGGGTCAGACGATGTCCACATTGGTGGTCCAGGAGCGCCACCTATGGCTGACCTTGGCGGATATGAGGGAGACCGACAAGCATCGCTTCTTGGACTCCCCGATCTCCTAGGCCGGCCTATTCGGCGAAGCGGTGGAGGGCTCTACCCAACAGTTCTCCGCCGCACAGAAGCAGATGGAGGCGTTTCGACACATCCTGCCCTGGCGGTCTGCTGCTGTCTGCACCCCACCGCCGGCTCCAGCCCCTCTGTCTGCTCGTCACCGAGGGCGCCCTCCTGTGGCCTCCACCTCCGCTCCGGCGCGGCCACAACAGCAGCCTTCACAACGGGCGCAGCGTGGAGGTG